TCTCTTTCCCTCCCTCCCACCCCCTCTCTCTCTTCTCTCGCCCTCCCTCTACTCCGTTTCTCTCCCTCTTTTCTCCCTCTCCCCCCTCATCGCCTTCAGAGCAGCTGTTAATTTTGCTTAGTTTTGCTTACCTTGGTTTTTACCCCATAGACTCCTCTGAGAGAGGAGGCAGAGAATGAGCGTATCTATAGTTCCTACTATGTGCTAGGCACTGTAGTAAGCACTTTACAAATATTATCTCATTTGATCCTCACAACCACCCTACAAGATAACTGCTATTATTATCCCTATTTTTACAGTTGAGGGAACTGAGGCAAAGAGAGGCTAAGTGACTTGCCCAGAGTCACACAGCTAGGAAGTATCTGAGGTTGGATTTGAACTCAGGTCTTCCTGACTGCTGGCCCAGCACTCTGTCCACTATAGCACCTAGCTGCTTTAGCTGCCGTGAGAACTAGCTAATAATTTTCTTTCTTCCCCCTCGCCCCAATCTAACTAGCACCCCCCACACCTAGTAGCCAGATAGTTTTTTTTTTATTAATTTATTTTGAATTATCAATGATCACTTTCATAAGCTTTTGAGTTTTAAATTTTTCTTCCCCTTCCTCCCCACCTTCTTCCCCAAGACGGCGCGCAGTCTGATATTGGCTATACATATATATTCCTATTAAACATATTTTCACATTAGTGATGTTGTAGGTAAGAATTAGAACTAATAGGAGGAACCACCAGAAAGAGGAAACAAAACACAACAGAAGAAAAAAAAAAAGCAAATAGTATGCTTCAATCTGCATTCAAACTCCATAGTTCGTTCTTTGGATGTGGATAGCATTTTCCAGCCAGATAGTTTTTCTACCAGCTCTGTAAATGACAGGTGCCTGGAGAGGTAGTGTAGTGGAGTAGATAGAGCTGACCCCGAAGCCCCCTGCATCGTGGTTGTCCCTCTGACAGATACTGGCCTGCCCCAGGCAACTGTCCAAAGTCTTTTCCTTGGACCTGCCTATGGTCGGGAGTTTCCTTTCCTTGCTGCTGTTTATACTAATGAAGTCATCGCTAACTAGGTGTAAATCCAAAGGAGTTGGAAGGAGCCTCAGGAACTGTCTGCTCAATCCCCTCATTTTACAAAGGTAAAGTAAGCCCAGAGAAACGTGTGCCCCTACCAAGGCCACACATGGCAGACCCAGGATGGTGCCCAGAGCTTGTACGTCTCCTCTAGTAGGCATATGTTGGGTTTGGAGTCAGAGGGCATGGGTTTGAACCTGGCTTGACCGTTGACAAACCACGTAAACTCCTTGAGCCTTATTTTCCTAATGTGTGAAATGACACCATTAAGTTTGCTTTCCTCTCAGGAGCCGATAATCCCCGTAGGGACAGGGATTTTGAGCTCAGATCTGTAGTGACTTAGTCACTTACTTGACCCCACGGACTGCTCCCTTGTGTCCTCTGTGGGCCCCAGAGCCGAACAGTCTTTCTGCACCCATCAAACTCAAACTCCCGCCTTCCCACAGGTACTACTCAGACATTGCCAAGATGCCCGCAATCAGTGACCAGGACATGAGTGCCTACCTGGCGGAACAGTCACGTCTACACCTCAGCCAGTTCAACAGCATGAGTGCTCTGCACGAGATCTACTCCTACATCACGAAGTACAAGGATGAGGTACGGAGCCCCGGGCCCAGCTCGCCCACCTGGGCCCTGTGGAGAGGGCTGATGCACTGGGCTTCAGTCCCTCCCCCTTCTCATCGTTGTGTCCTGTCCATTCTAGCTGTCAGTCTCTCCCTTCCCTTCCACCCTCCTAGGCCTCACCCAGACCTGTGGAGTATGAGGTATTGGGAGAACTGCCATGGAGGCCAGCATAGCTGGATTGTAGAGTGCATGGAGGAGACTGGAAAGGTGGGAAGGCATTGCCCAAGCTGGTGTGTGGGAGAGTGAATATAGGTGAGATCAGCCACTGTGAGCAGTGGTTAATCATATCGACCTTTAAGGATGTCTAGGGAAGGGTACCCAGGATGGCCACGAGGCTCAAGTTCTGGGCATGTGAGGAGCATCTGAAGGCATGGGGGCCTGGTCACTGTGTTAAAGTATTTGAAGGATTCTAGATGACCCCCAAGGGCCCTTCCAAGCCTGGGATTCTGGAATTTGGAGCTTGCTCTGAACATATGCTGTCGTCAGAGAAAGGTTCTTAGGAATCTTGGGTGACTCTAGTAATGCTTATGCAAAGATAATCTACCCAACAAAGCGGAATGTAAGGGTTGAACTAAGTCTTGAAAGAAGCCAGGGTAGAGGTGAGGAGGCAGATGAAGAAGCAACATGTAAGAGAACTGGGTCTTCATTTCAGCTCTGCTGTTCATTTAGGTGGCCTTAAGTAATGCCTTCACTCACTCTGAGCCTCAGTTTCCTTCTTTGTAAATTGAAGGACGCTAGGACGTGAGGCTCCCTGATGCTCTAGCCTTCTCTGTCCAAGGTCCTCCAGCCCTGGCATCCTTTAGATCCTGGTTGTCCCTGTGGTCAGACACAGGATAAGCTCACATGCCAGTTGGAATGCCCCCCAGGGAGCAGCACCCCATCTGCTGTCATTTGGACTAATTAGCACTGTAAACCACTCTTCAAACACACTCCTAGAAATCCCTTATTAAAGCCATAAAATAAACAGCCACAATAAAAGATATCTCGCCCACAAGACTGCAAGTCTTTACAATTGCCCATAAAACATGACCGCTAGTGTGCTCCCAGATGCCGTGTAGCGAGGAGCACAGGCTTTCTCCCTACAGAGATCTGTGCTCAGCCTTGTTCTTGGGCTCTGTGTCTTGAGCCTCCCTTGAGGCCTGGAGAGGAAGCTTGTTCTCCAAGGAGAGGACCATCAAGAGATTTTGTCAAACTTACATTCTTGGGTTTTTGTTTTTGTTTTTTTAAAGATTTTATTGATCACTTTTTTTTTTTAAAGAATGTCAATGTCATTTCCCGGTCTACTGACTAACCCCCCCCCCCCCCCCCAGTAACAGATTAAAAATAGTTAAACAAAACCAGCCTAAAAGATAGCCAAGCCAGAGAGTGTGCAATATTCTGCACCTGTAACTCCCTCCTCCCCACCTCTGATGAGAGGAGGGAGGTGTGCTTCATCATCTGTCCTCTGGAACTCATTTTGATCATTGCATTTAATTTGAGTTGCTTTTTAGCATTATTTTTATGAACATGATTGCATTCATTGGCTATATTGTTCTCCTGTTTCTACTTTCTTTGCCCTGTATAGTCAGTTGAGACAGTTTTTTCCATGTTTGAATTCTTCGTATTTGTCCTTTTTTTAAATGGAAATAATATTTGATTATATTCATATGCCACCATTTATTCAACCATTCTCTGAGTCAGTAGCACCCACTTTCTTTCCAGTTTTTTCTACCACGAAGGGTGCTGCTGTAAATATTTTGTTATGTTATTGGTCTCCTGTCTTTAATCACCTCTAAGTTCATGTACAGTGGAATTACTAGGTCAAAGGGTATGAGCAGATTAGTTCTCATGGGATTCTTTTCCAAATTGTTTTCTAGCCAATCCACAGATCAAGCAACAAGGTATTTTTTTTAAATGTAATTTCATCTTTTTCAATTTAAAATAAAGACCTAGTCTCTTTTTCCCAACTCCTCCCTCTTCCACTGAAAACCAGACCAAATCCTTGTAACAAATACACACATACACACACACACACATTCACACACACACATATTCACACACACACACAGCCAAGCAAAAACTTCTGTATTAACCATCTCCAAAAATATATGTCTCGTATTTAGCCTGAGTCTATCACCTGTCTGAGAGGAGGTGGGTAACATATTTCATTATGAGTTCTCTGGAGTTACAGTTGGTAATTGGGTTGATCAGAGTTCCTATGTCTTTCAGAGTGGTTTCTCTTTATGATATTGTTGCTATTGTATAGATTGTTTTCTTGGTTCTGCTCACTTCACTTGTGATTAGTCCATAGTAATCTTCTCAGGTTTCTCCAAAACTGTCTCTGTTCTTATTTGCTATGAAGCAATAGCATTCCATTGCATTCATATGCCATAACTTGTTCAGCCATTCCCTAATTGATGGGGCACCCCATTTGTTTCCAGTTCTTTTCCACAACACACAAAAAAAGGCTGCTATAAATATTTTTGTCCAGGTGGGTCCTTTTCCTCTTTCTTTGATCTCTTTGGGCCTAGTAAGGTATCCTTCGATAACAATGTACTTGTGTGCCTGTCTTCCCATCACCCTTTCAGCATCAGCTGTTCCTATCATTTATCATCCTTGCCAATTTGATGGGTGTGAACCAAGATGTAAGAATGGTTTTAGTTTGTGTTTTTCTTATTATTTGTGCTTTGGAACATTTTTTTCTTGTGATTGTTGTACATTTGCAAGGGCTTAGCTTAAGTGGGCATTTGACTAGCTCTGGGCTGAATCTTAAATCTACCCAGCGCCGCTGAGATGCCTCTACCCTGAGAGGCCCATACATATGGGCCTGGCACAGGCATGATTCCTCTGTTCTATTTTTGTGCTTTTTAAATGTGGCCTGAGGGTCCTCATGTGTGAAATGAAGAGTTCAGTATAATAAAAACTGGCAATGGATGTGAAATCAGGAGACCTGGGCCCAACTTAGCCCACGACTTAGCTTGTGTGACGTTGGACAAGTCACCCAAGCAGGGTGAACCGTGTCGCTTTCAGTAGCATGGAGGATTTGGAGTAGATAATCTGTAAGGTTGCTTCCAACTCTGAGATTTTGAGTTGCTTAATTCACATGTTGATTCACTCTGTTTTCTTTTTGCTGTTTCTTCTTCCTTTATTGGGTGTGTGAATTAGCCATATAATGATCCCCAGTTTATCTGACTGGGAAGGCTTCCCGAAGGAAAGTGAACACTTACATAGAATTCTAGGATTTCAGTGCCCCAAAGGACTTGTCCAAGACCATAGGTTGTAGAGTAGTAGAGGCAGGTATCCTCCAAGCAAGTTCTTTATCCCCAGTGAATCACAGATCTAGAAACTACTCCTCCCCACCTCCCTGCAGGTCATCTTATTGGATCTGGCCCAGTCATATAGCCTGTCCAGATTTTTATTGGGTGTTATCCAGCATGTTAGTTATCCCTCATAGCTTTGTGCCATGTGCAGATTTGAAATTCAGGACATTCTATTTCTTTATCCAAGTCATCAATAAAAACATTGAACAGCACAAGGTCAGGCGTAGATCACTGGGGCATGTCGCTAGAGACCTATCAGGCCAGCATTGGGCCATTGATGACTACTCTTTGGACGATGATGATGATGATGATGATGGTGGTGGTGGTGGTGGTGGTGGCGGCAGGGGTGATGATGATGATGATGATAAGCATTTATATAGCACCTACTATGTGCCAGGCACAATGCTAAGTGCTTTACAAATATTATATAATCCTCACAACAACCCTGGTAGCTAGGCACCATTATAATCCTAATTTTACAGCTGAGGAAAATAGAGATTAAGTGTCCAAGGTCATGTAGCTAGGAAGTGTCTGAGGCTATGTTCAAACTCAGATTTTTTCAGTGCTCTATCCACTGGGCCACCTAGTCACCTATAAATGGATCTGGCCATTCAGACAGTTTTGAATTTACTATTGTTTAGCCCACATTTCTCCATTCACCCACAAAAACAGAATGAGAAATTTAGTCAGGCCCCCCTACTAAAGCCTATCTAAGCTATAGCTACCACCTTCCCCTAAAACTACCAGGATAGGGGCAGCTAGGTGGCGCAGTAGATAGAGCACCGGCACTGAAGTCAGAAGGACCTGAGTTCAAATGCGGCCTCAGACCAAATACTTGACACTTACTAGCTGTGTGACCCTGGGCAAGTCATTTAACCCCGATTGCCTAAAATAAAAAAATAAAAGAAATAAAAAAAAAACTACCAGGATAGTAATCCTGTCCCAAAAAAAGGAAATGAGATTAATTTGGCAGTGTCTTCTTCTTAACGAAGCTGTGCTGGTTCTCTGGGATCACTGCTTTTTTTTAGATACATTCTAGAATTTGCCAGGAATCACAATCAAGCTCACTGGACCATAGTATGGACTCCATTCTCTGTCCCACTCACCTCTGCCCTGGGTATTTGCTCCTCAGTCCTGAGGCCCCTCTTCCAGGCTTCAAGGTCTGTGGGAGATCCCTGGAAGTATTGTGCAATGACATTTCACCAATTCTTTCATTATCTTTGATTGTAGCTCATATGGGCCTGAACCCGTCGAGTCCAGAGAGGACTTCTCTTATTCCATTTCCCTTTCCTCAGGTTTCAATTCCCTTTTGTAGTCATTTCTCTTCTGTTCTTCCTCATCAAAAGATTATTCTCCTTGACACACACACAAAAAAATAGAAACAATATAAGGGTTGCATTGTTCTCCCTTTTCTCCATCTGCCATTAGGATAAAAATAGTTGCTCTAATTGATCCAGCACTTTAAGGTGTACAAAGTGCTTAACGTACATTATCTCATGATTTAAAGGGAAGGAATGACAAACTCTTGGCCAGGGATGGAGTGTACTGACGAAGGCAGGGAAGAATGTATTTGTCAGTACCTTGTAATCAAAAGGGCATTGAAATAAGAGGGGTGGGGGAGGGGGGAGCACTGCTTATGTACTTCCACTGAGCTGATACCATGGAAGAGTTACA